GGGCCTAGTTTGATACTATGCTGGTTCCTTTGCTGCCAGGCCAGCGTTGGTAAGCTTCCATTAGCTCAGGTAAGCTGTTTCAGTGGTTGTCCCCATTTCTCCATCATTGTCTTGACCTCTTTGCTTGTATTCTCATTCCTCCCTCTCTTTGACTGGACTTTGAGAGCTCAACCCTGCTCCAGTGTGGTTGTCTGAATCAGTTTCTATCAGTTGCTGAATGTAGGTTCTATGATGACATTTAAGATAGTCATCAATCTGACTACAGGGCAAGGCTAGTTCAGGTACCCTCTCCACTATTGCTTAGGGTCTTAGCTGGGGTCATCCTTGTGGATTCCTGGGAATTTCTCTAGTGCTAGGCTTCTTGCTAACCCCATAATGGCTACCTCAATCAAGATACCCCTTTCCTTGTTCTCTCTCTGTCCTTCCCCCATCTTGACCATTCTGTTTCCTCTAGTTCTCTTCCCTGACCCCTCCTCCTCTCCTTTTCCCCTTCTGCCTCCTCTTCTTCCTCCACCCCCATTTCTCAGGATATCTTGTTAGCATAATATCTGACTAAATAAACTTTAAACTAAAACTAAGCAAAAGAAGTAAAAAGGAACACTTTATTATACCCAAGGGAACCATTGGTCAAGAAAACTTTAGCATCCTAAAAAGAAACGGACCAAAATCTGGTGTATTTGATCTCTTAAAAAGCACAATGGTAGAAATAAAGACATAGAAAATCAATTAAAGCCAATTATTGCATTATTTATAGTACAAAAAGCATTGGCAAAATCAAGATAGAAAAACAATAAGTTTAAAAATTAATAAAAGTTAAAATAACGATGGATGAATGAAATAAAGGAAAGTGTCAGAGAATGGAAAAATTAATGTGCAAAATAACTTAAAAATGAAGTCCACACAACACTTAGAACATGAGGCTTCCTACCTAAAGAGCTTGTAATTATCTGTGCCCAACCTTCCCTTTCTACCTGCCTGCCAGTTACCCCACTACAACTAGCCAGGCACTGATGCCCTGCAACTTCCCACCAGAAGAGAAAACCCCTAGTCTGGCCACTGATACTCTTTTGTTTGCCTGCCAGTTGCCACACTGACCATTCAGCAGACATGTGCACTCCAGAAGCCTGATCAGAACTGCCACCACCCAGGCTTCTTTCTTTAGAAACCCCAATCACAAGCCAAATAGGGTGGCCCCAAGATTGAATACCAAGCACCATTTCACTAACTCACAATCGGACAGCTTGGGCGTAATGCCAAACAAGTGTCTAAACAACAACCCAACACAAAAGAGACCAGGTACCCACAACACGAATAATTGCCAAAGACCTAATTCCAGATGCCTAGATCCTATCCCAGAAAGCAAACAAGCAGAATGAATGGCTAAGACAATATGTCTCCTCCAGACATTAGTGCTTCTAATGTACTGACATCTGAGAAAACCAAATTTATGCACGTGACAATGATTACAAACAATAATTAGAAATATGTTCAAGAAAGTAAAAGAGGATATAGATAAATACTTGAACAATGACATTGAAAACACAAACAGCAGAGTGGAATAATAAATACAGTTCAAGATATGAAAATAGAATTTAATAAAGAGATGGAATCTCTAAAAAATTACTCAAAGTGAAGTAAAACTTGAAATTAAAATTCTTGAAGTCAAACAATATGTTCAGTGGAAAGAATCTCAAACAGATGGAATTATGTAGAAGAGAAAATATCCAGTCTCGAGGACAAGATAGAATAATGTTAAAAAAAAAAGTAAAATCTCAAAAGAAACCAAGAATTGAACATGTAGGTAATATGGGACAGTATAAAATGACCAAACCTGCAAGTACTCTTATACAAGGAGTAAAAACCCAAGATTAAGGGCACAGAAAAATATTTTTCGTAAAATCATAGAAGAAAATTTATCAAATCTAATGTTCAGAACAAAGGATGGACATTAAGAATGGCAATAAACAAAGAACAATTTAGCCACAGGACAGGACATCAGAATAACATTTGACTTTTAAATGGCAACTTTAAAAGCCAGGAGTCCCTAGACTGATGTTTTACAAGTTCTAAAGAACCACAGAAGCCAAATCATATTGCTATACCCAGCAAAACTATCAGTCATCATCAAAGAAGAAAGAAAAAGTTTCCATGATAAAAAGAGATTTAAGGAATTTATATCCTTAAAACCAGCCTTACAGTAGATACTAGAAGGGATACTTTGGACTGAAGAGATGATAAAACTTAATATTCAGGAAGGCACAAGGAATACATAATTCCTGAACAGTTAACTAAAAAGCAATCTAAGAAAATAATACCACAACAAAACAATGGGGATTAATATACATTACTCAATAACAACTCTCATTGTCAATGTTCTCAGTTCCCCAACAAAAAGACACAGACTAAGGATTTAATTAGAAGACAGGATCATTCTTTTTTCTTTGCCTCTAAGATACACACCCCACTATCAGTAGATATTACCTTATAGTTTTTACCTTTTGGATGGAGAATCTTGAAGGAAATGTTTGGAATCACAAATACAAATTTGAAATACAAATAACAAGTAGACAAAAATGATATATGCACTATATTTCTTCTTCTGTAGGTTTGGTAAGTTTATCTTCCAAAGACATAGTTCTATTGTACCTTGATTATCAAACTTATTAGCATGAAGATAGTTAAACTGTTTTGCTATTGTTACTGTAATCCCTACAGGATATGTGAAGTCCCAGCCCTGCGTTCTTCACATAGAAACCTTGCCTGGTCTGCCTTGTCTCTCTCACTCTATTTCTGGTTATTCTTAATTAATGATTTTAAATATTTTATTAATTACTTCAAAGAATATAATTCTGCTTAGCTTATTTTTCACTTTGCCTGAAGATTCTTTGTTGAATACTTATTACTGGTAAGCATACTTGAATATCTTCCATTGGAATTCAAATTGTGCTTTTCCCTTTAAATTTAGATGCTTACATAATTAATTTTACATTGCTTTCAAGTAATCACATTTTCTAGACTATATTGCAGGAGGTTTGATATGATCTATTATTTTATCTTATTTTTCTGAAAAAGCGCCATCAAATTTTGTTAGTATTATTTTCTGTCAACAAATTGTTATTAACAGTGCACTCTTTACAGCTAAATGTTAAGCTCTCTTGGAAAATTTGTTGCTACTTCTGCAATTTATTTCTCTGTGACTTAAGAACATATTCTATGTTTTCCTTCTTGAAAAGAGTTTTGAGATTGAGCTTACTGCCCAGAAGAAGGTTTATCATTAAGAAATCCCCATGTGCATATAAAAGCAATGTGCATCCCACAAGTGCAAAATGAAAGAACCTGCGATAATTAGTGAAGCCCAATTTGTTCATGGATGGACTTAAGTAAATCTCAACTTACTTTTATTTTCCCATTAATCACTGAAACAATGATGTTAGAACAATTACAACAACAGTTCTGTGTTCTTTATTATCTTTTTTGTTGATTCCACTTTTCTCTACATTTTAAAACTACCCTGGTCTATACACACATGTATACTTACTGTGGCTTCACTTATCAGTCTACTTGTATTACTTCAATATCGTTATTAGTTTTTTGTCTTGAAATTTTGCTGTTTCGAATCTAAGGCTGTTTCTATGTTTGTAATCAATCATAATTAAAAGCCCCTTAAAAGCAATAGAGTTTTAATCTACTTAAACTTTGTCAATATTATAAAGTTGGATTTAACTCTGTGGTCTCAATATTTAATTCAATTTGTCCTTTCTATAATATTTAGGTGTCCTACTTAGCTTTCTTTTTTTTTAAATATTTATTTATTTATTATGTATACAATATTCTGTCTGTGTATATGCCTGCAGGCCAGAAGAGGGCACCAGACCCTATTATAGATGGTTGTGAGCCACCATGTGGTTGCTGGGAATTGAACTCAGTACCTTTGGAAGAACAGGCAATGCTCTTAACCTCTGAGCCATCTCTCCAGCACAGCTTTCTTTTTTTTAATTTATTAAAGATTTCTGTCTCTTCCCCACCTCCGCCTCCCCTTTCCCTCCCCCTCCCCCAATCAAGTCCCCCTACTTAGCTTTCTGTTGCTATGATAAACTCCATGACGAAAAGCAACTGTGGAGGAAAAGGACTTATTTGGATTCCAGGTCACACTTCATCATTGAGGGAATCCAATGAAGGAACTCAAGGCAGGAATTTGAAGCAGAAATGGCAGAGGGATGTGGTTTACTAGTTTACTCCCAAGGTCGTAGTCAGTTGCCTTTCTATACAGTCCAGAGACACTTGCCCAAGGATGGCATTGCCCATGTGAGTTGGTCTCTCCCACATTACCCAACAATCAAAGAAATGCCCCACAGACATGCCCACAGCTCATCTGACAGAGGCAATTTCTTCAACTGAGGGTCAGTTTGACAACAAAACTATTCAGGTCAAGAGTGTTTTCTTCCCTTGTCACCTATGCAGCTCATCTCCTGACTCATGATTGATCAACAGATTCCTTTCTCCTTAGTGCTCAGATGGGGACCTGATCCTGTCCATAAAGTCATCTCAACAGGTTATGGCCACAGTTAGACTTCTTTCCCCTCAGAAGTAACTTCTCCTGGACTGTTTGCATTTCCCAGCATGGGAACCCACATAACAACTGCACTCTGCTCCATATTCATAGCTCTCTGGCCCTTTGTTGGTCCTTCAGTTCAGGGGCTCAGACTGGAATCAGCCTGGCAAATGAATGAAAACAATGGGGATTTTGGATATCAGTGCTTTTCATCATGGTGAAAACTAGAGGTGTAACAATGTCAGCTTATAGATAAACGTTCTTCATGGGAAATAATTGCAAGGAGTGGTGTTAAATTATTTATTAATATCATGACAGTTATTGTTTAAGCATCATTCAAATTTTGGTATGATGATCACATAAATCTGTTGCTGAATATATTTTATATTCTTAGTAGTCATGAATTTAATTCTTTATTTCAAACTCTATCCTCACAGCTTCTCTTTCTTTCTCGCTCCATCACTAAAAAGTATGTGCAAAACCAGGACTTCCCAGATTCAACATACATCAAATATATGCATGGATAATTTGAGATACATTACTGAAAATGTAGCACCTACATAATATGTATGAGGCTTTGGTTTTAATTGCCACCAAAGCTGTTATAGAAAGATTTTCATCACAATGATAACAGAAGTTACAAAATAATTCCACACTCTTTCAGAATTATGTATAATAGTTATTTATTTAGGGGAGACTCATAGATCACAGTCTTGTGCACAAATGGGGAATGGGAACTGATTCTGGCAGCTGGAAGTAAGAGCCAGAAGCGAGAGAGTGAACACATGCTTTACAGCTGCATTTATAGTATAAGAGAACATGCCCAAGTGGGCTGGATTTAAAGGCTATTGGCTGAAGGAGCTCCCACAGCATCAGAGGTTATTAAAGCCTTCAGATGGAATTACTGGATCAGCCAGCCATCATTTTAAGAACAAAGAAGCAGAATATGAAAGAGATAACATGCTGAATGATTTACAGAGAACATTTATGGAAAAATGGAGTTAGACTAAGTTAAGGACAAAATGTATTTTTTTCTGTGATATCTGTGCAGTTTGACCTTGGACATTGCATCCTTGAGAGCCTGGTGGACCTGCTTGTTGCGCAGGGTGTAGATGACAGGGTTCAGAAGCGGGGTCACTACTGTGTTCACTAGAGCAGCCTCTCTGTTGGTGTCCAGCCTGCTTGACTGCTTTGGCTTAATGTATATAAACATACAGCTGCCAAACATCAGCAAGAGGACGATAAGATGAGAGGAACAGGTGGAAAAAGCCCTCTGTCGCTCCCTGGCTGATGGCAGACGCACTATTGTGACTACTATGTTGCTGTATGCAAAGACGGCTATAAGAAAGGATGTAAAAAGCACAATTAAAGCAAAGTTAAAAAACAGCATTTTGATAGCCCTGGTTTCAGAACAGGAGAGATTTGCAAGTGGTCCGAAGTCACAGAAGAAGTGAGGAATGACATTGGGGCCACAGTAAAATGACCGGGAAAGCTTTACAATTGGAATGGCCACGAGGAGGAATCCCAGAACTAAACAGACAGTAACAAGAAAGACGCACACCCTTGGGCTCATGATGGTGTGGTAATGCAGAGGTTTGCAGATGGCCAGATACCGGTCCAGGGACAACACAGCAAGAAGGAAAAAAGCAGTTGACCCCAGGAAAAGAAAGACAAAGGCTTGGGTGAAGCAGGCTCCAAAGGAAATCCTTTGCCTCCCTGAAAGAAAGATGGCTAGCAGCTGAGGAATAACGGTAGATATACAACAGAACTCAACAATGGAGAAGGTGCTGAGGAAGAAGTACATGGGTGTGTGTAAGCGGTGGTCCTCGCAGGAGATGGCAATTATGAGCATGTTGCCCATAAAGCAAGACAAGTAGGCCAGCAAGTGCACTAGAAATAGGAGGATCCCCAGGTGATCGACTGCAGGGAACCCCTCGAGGATGAACTCCTGGATGGCTGTCCCATTCCTGGTTTCCTCTGTGATCAGCATGTCCATGTCTCCAGTCTGTCACCGAGGGGTTTGCAGAACCGTGACTGAAAGGTAGAGAACTGTGTGTTACTAAAACTGTAAATGACACGGGAAGGCCATCGGGCTTGTAGTCAGTGCATTCAATATGCTATTTTGTCCATTGTTAAGTAACAATAAATGATTTTGAACTATATGACAGTCTTTACATTGCATGTGCCCTAAAATACCAACTGTAGAAAACCTGCATGGGCCACACACCTCCATTAGGGAAAATGTCATTCAGCAATGTTGATGGTTTTCCCATGTGGCTCACTGCCTGCTTGGAACTTTTATCTACTTAGTCATGTTACATATTTCTGGTAGAATAGCTTTCATGTCACACAGGCACGGATAAACATTGTGAAAGGAAAGGATAATAGCAATGTAAAAATCAACCTGGATGTGGCGTGTAGTTTGGAGGTGAGGTGCCTTTCTAATATGCCTGAATTTGTGGTTTTAATTCCCACCAATGCAAAATGAGAGAAAACAAGCCAGACAAAAAATTAAGTCATAGGTATTAGAGAGATGGCTCAGCAGTTAAGTTCATGTGCTGTTTATGCACAGTGCCTGGGGTCAGTTCCCCGAACCCACATGACAACCCCTAATCATTTGTACCTCGAATTCTAGGAGACCCAGTTTCCTTTTCTGACTTCTGAGGGCACCAGGCACACAGGCTGTATGCATAAACTCATGAAAGCAAAATACTCAATACACATAGAATAAAAACAAATTCTCAAAAATTTAAGTCACAGAAGGCATTCATTCTACAAAATATATTCCTTTATCATACCTTAACATTTGTGTCCATGTTTGGCCATATTATTATCAGCAAAACCTCCTGGAGTCCCAGAGTCCCATCTGTAGTCCTGTGAAGTGAGTTAGATCAGAAGAGGCACATAAGTAACTCTAGTTGGATTTTCATAGGTTCATGTCTGGCTGCTCTCATCCAGAGCCCCAGATCGACAGTGAAAGAGAAGTATTTCCCCTCCATCCTGTGCTTGATGGTCAGTCCAGGGAGAAATTCTATCACCTGATCTTCTTAGTCCAGATATTTAAGAAAGTCAGGATGCTGGGGAAGTGGGTCAGCAGGTGAAGTGCTTGCTACCCAAGTGTGAGTTCAGATCCCAGCCCCTGTAAAAGGCCAGAGTGGTGAAGTACATCTTTAACTCCAGGGCTGGATGGGGGGGGGGGGGGAAGACAGGCAGATCCCAGGGGCCCACTGACTCAGCAAACCAGTCCAGTTGAAACAATGAACTTCACATTCAGTAAGGGATTAGGTCAAAATATAGGGAAGAATGTGATGAAGGAGGGTATCCAAAATCAATCTCTGGCTTTTGCATGCACATATGTGGTTAAGTGCACACACACACAGACATGCATATTCCACCTACACAGGAACATACAGCCCCCCCACAAATGCATACATATGCATATACCACACATACACATAACCTAAGCATATAATATACCTTAAATACACACATGCACATACCACACATGCATATCACATACACATAACACACACACATATGCTTATATACCAACAAAGAAAAGAATGAAAGACAAAACAATACCAAAATTTGAGAGATAGCTCAGTTTACAATGTGAGTGTGGTTCTCTATAACCCAAATTGGAGGAGAAGGAGGAGGGGAGGAAGAGCATTGTAGCATGCTCTGTGATGGCTGAGCTGATGCAGATAGATGGACTTCTGGGTTTGCTTGCCAACTAGCCTAGACTATTTAGCAAGTTCTAGACCAATGAAGGACTTAGTTTAAAAGAAAAAGTGGATAGTACCTGAGAAATACACCTATATTTGTACTCTGGTCACGACATACATGCATTCATATTTATACATGTACGTACATACATACAGACAGACAGACACACAAACATGCACAGATCCACACATTAAAAAAGAACACTTAACAGAGTAGATATCTCCTGACTTAACTCCAGTGATGATTCTGATTCATTCTTTCTCCTAATTCTCATGTTAGCAGGATAAGTATTCTTTCCCCTAAACTGATAAAATCTTTGTGTGTGAGCCTTTCTCACTGGTCAACTGGAATCCATCTCAGATCTCAGACCTCCCTGGCTGACTTGGAACAACCAAATTGTCTCGCTCTTGTGAAAATTGTAGAGAAACCGGATGGAAGAAAGACACAGCTGCCATATACAACAAGCAAATGACAAGAGGCTCCACTCACACTGAGGGCACACACCTGCCACATGCAGCTCACAACATCACACTGAGGCCACACCCCTGCCACAAGCAGCTAATAAAAATAAGAACTCTTTCCTCAGCTATTTTCACTCTCAGAAAAAATTCAACACATTGGTTGGACAGCTAAAATATGCATAAATAAATAAACAATCATTCATAATTTTAAGAGTTAAATTCAGCATCTGTATTACATCTGCCAGTTCTTCTTCCCAATCTATTAATAGCCTAAATTAAATCAAACTTACATTTCAGTGGAAGTCTTTTGTGGTAACTCCATGGGAAAACAAGAACACACATCTGCTCATTGTTCTCTGAGAATTGAGAAATGAGTCCACCTGGAATTCCCAAAAAGCTTTTGTGCATCTCCAGTCCCCCAAACCTCCCTGTATGCTCCAGCACCAACAAGCATCTTTGCTGTTAGGAAAATACTCCAGCCAGGGTACAAGGCAAGAGAGGCATCACTTAAAATGGCATATGTAGATATTTCTTGTATAGATGCTATTTTTCTTAAATGCTTTCCAAATCACTGAATTTGTTATTACCACTACTGCCAGCACCACTGCCAACCAACACATACATATTCTCAGATTGAGATGATACCTAAACCAGCAGGAGCAGAAATGAAAAGGACATGAATTTGTCTTAACATATATTTAGCACTCGACTGTCTCTTGATACTAATCAGGGTTTACCAGGTCCAGTGGGTGGCACCAAGAGACACTAAGTATCATTAGTAGATGGAACAAAGCTATCCACAGACCTGTGTACTCTAGGATCCCTCATGATTGGTAATTTAGCATGGTTACACATTGAATACCATTCAGTAATAATAATAGTAGTAAACTTGCATAATGTATTATTATATCTGATACTATATAATGATTAGTAAGCATAATGTCTGCCCTTTCATTGTGTACAAAAATATACTATGAGTTCCCAAATGTTCTCATGAAAATATTTGAAAGTAGAGTACATATAATCCCCCAAACTTCATTAATATCCAAAATGTATAATATTATTAATGCAGGATTAAAAGGTCAAATGGAGCTAGCTAACATTCATGGCACATGCCTGTAATCCAAGTATTCATGTGATTAAGACAAGAGATTTACTGTGAGTTTGAGACCAGCTTAGGATTCACAGTGAATACCAAGCCAGCCAGGACTGGATATCTAGCTAGCATACCTTGAGCTAATATTTTAAAGCCACATTGAGAAATGGATCATTGTACCATTGTACAAGTCACGTTTCTCCAGTGAAAGAGTAGTAATAAAAACAAAGAATAAAAAATTGTTACAAAGAGAATTCACTAGATTGACTTACACAATCTGGGTGAGTAGTCCAGCACTGGTTGGCTGCACACCAGAGGCTGAGAACCCAGTATGTACTCAGTCCATCATACTTGTTGCCTTTGCAGTTATAGTTTGGTGCTGAAAGCATGAATAATTCCTGGAGACCTGCTGGTCTTCAGTACACATTGGAAGACTGAAGAAGCTGGGTTCTGGCATCTACTCTGCTGTTTGACAACAGGATTGGTGTACTCACCAGCAAGAAGTGAAAAAAAGTAAGCCAAAGAGCTGTTTTTCCTTCAGTCCTCTGTATATATTGGATAACACCGGAAGATGCTAAAGGCTCTTGGGAAGGGTCTTTCCTCTCTCAGTTAAAACAGAAAATATCCACACAGAGTTACCCAGAGGTACACTTCTTAGTTGATTCCAGATCTAAACAAGTTGGCAACACAAACATTTTCTTTCATGTATTGCCATTGGCCATGGTATTTTGCCACAGAAATAGAAACCACAACTAAGACAGAAATTGGTACCAGGAGTGGGGTATTTCTTGTGACAGACATGAATATGTATTTTGGGACAATTGTGAAAGGACATTGGAATTTTGAGTTGGAAAAACCACTGAGTGAGTACTCAGAGCTTGGTGGAGAATTCTATAAGAACATAGAAGATATTGATGAGAGCAGTGCAGAACATGGAAGCCTAACTTGTGGTGTTACACAGAGAACTTTTGAGAGTTCCTTAAGGGCTTTATCAAGCAGTTGATATTCTAAATTAAGAACTACTGAAGTGAAACCTCTACTTTGCTGAGACAATTGATAACTTGTCAGCTTGGGCTAAATAATCAGCTGTGATTAAAAAGAGACCAGAATCATTAAGACGAACTCTCTGGGAAGTGTTTCCTTTTAGTTAGCACACAGATTCCAGAGGTGGCTAAATTTGTACCTCATGCTGCCAGTAAAACATGGCGACATAAGAACCACCCAGGTGATACTGATTTCAAAGGTATGAAGAGGGCATGGAGAACAGCTGAGGTTTGACAGTGTGGCAAATTAGGATTTTTTTGAAGAGAGCCCAAGAGAAGCTCTTGGAGAAGGTGCCCAGTTGCAGTGAAGACCACAGTGTTTAGGAGATGTGACTTCTAGGGGACAATTGCCAAGGGCAGAAGCAGCTGTGGAACGGAGTTGGCCTATGGCTAGAAGAAAGCTGTATTGCTATGGATGGCAGAGATGAAGAGATGGAGTCTTTGGAAGACATAGGATTGTCTTTGTGTACCAGACAGCAAGCACTGAGCCTATTATACTGTTGAACATTAATTTTGCTTTATTTTGATTGTGACTCAGCCCTGTTTCTTCGCTCTTAAAATAATTTAACTTATATTTTATTTGACAGGAACCCTAAGTTAGGAGACTTTAGAATTTTAGAAAGACTTTGAAATTTTTGTGATATTTTGGATTTTTTCCCTAATATTTTTA